TGATATAATGATATAATGATATAATGATATCATGATATAATGATGATATAATGATATAATGATATAATGTTAAAATGATATAATGATATAATAAAACAATGATATAATGATATAATGATATAATGGTATAATGATATAATGATATAATGATATAATGATAAAATGATAAAATGATATAATGATATAATGATATAATGATATAATGATATAATGATATAATGATATAATGATATAATGATACAATGATATAATGATATAATGATATAATGATATAATGATATAATGATATAATGATATAATGATAAAATGATATAATGATATAATGATAAAATGATATAATGATATCATGATATCATGATATCATGATATAATGATATACTGATATAATGATATAATGATATAATGATATAATGTTTTAATGATTTAATAATATAACGATACAATGATATAATGATGTAATGACATAATGATTAATGATATAATGATATAATGATATAATGATATAATGATATAATGATATAATGATATAATGATATAATGATATAATGATATAATGATACAATGATATCATGATATAATGATATAATGATATAATGATATCATGATATAGTGTTATAATGATATAATGATATAATGATATAATGATATAATGATATCATGGTATAATGCTCACTACGCTTTGTGCTGGGGCCACTTGGGGGGCAAGCTGCGTTTCACCTGCCTCTGTGAGAATCTTCGGGTTGTTCGGAAGAATCTTCAGGGCCTTCTCATAGTAGGCCTTGGCCTCCTGTGGCCTCATGCTTGCAGACGCCAAAAGGCTAAAACTCTTCAGTCGGTGCACCATGTTCCTGCAGTCCACAAACAAGGGACATTCTGCCAACATGACCAGATGCCTGGATCATATCATGTCACAACATGTCACTACTTGTGCTGTTGCGTTGGTCTTTCATGACATATGTGTCTCTGCTTCGACCCAGATCGCACTTCACCCTGCCGTGAGCCTGTTGGCATCGACGTCCAAGTATCGGGCCTGCAGCAAAACATTCATCAGCGGGTCTAAATGGTTCCAAATCAGACACTCAGATGTAACGAAGGCCTACAGCAACGACATTTCTAGCAATAGCTCACTCACGATTCACCATTTGTCCTTCAGAAATCAAACCAGGCATGGTGAAATAATCTACTACATGTTCAACATCATCGAATCCGGCCAAAGCTTCGTTGGTCATTAATCTTCCCAGCAGTCGCCCACCATTTTGAAAACAAAGCCTGGTAGTAGTTGACGTAGCCATCATCTGGAAAGAGTCGCAAGGCCCACTTTCTGATCGCAGCTGCAGCTTGCGGTTTCCTCAGCTGCTAGAACTGTACATGTCAGTTCCCACTTGGAGGATCATCCCACTTAATAGGTGGTTAATAACCCTGAGTAAGTCTCCCAAGTGGGTTATCCCACATACATATATATATATGCATCTGCATATGTGAAAAAAAAACTTATAACTCCACTTGCTACCCAGTTATTAAGTGGAATTGTCCTCAAGGTCGGAGCATGATAGTATCGCAACAAGAACGACGAATTGGTTCTGTAAAAGTTCCACCCGAAACTTGAGCCCATGCATTTACATCATTTATCTCCTGAACAGCTTGTTGCTATGTTTTTCCGATACAAATGGATATTTCATGATATTTCATGATATTTCCAGAAAAAGTTCATGATGGGTTGTTCCCAAATATGGCTATGTACCTGGCAGTTAAGGCCAGCTCAGGTCTTGAAATCCGAGCAAGACACGGATCTTCTCCATACAGGAAGAATTGCAGAAGTCCAGCATTGACCAAAAAAAGACTACTGCAGTGCATCTTACAGGTATTCATATGTTACAGCTATGTGCATGTATACTGTATATGTATATTTATATTTATATATACAGTATATCTCTATCTATATATTTATATTTATATATATGGTCCCGTCCTCCGTCTCTCCACCCCTCGCCTCCCCCCCCATGGGTTGGGTCCCCAGGTAGCAGCCCCAATTCCCTTCCATTTGCAAACTATTGGCAGCATTTCTGAGGTCCAGCTTCGTATTTGCTAGGTCTTTGCAGCATTTCTGACTACCAACCTCGCATTTACTAGGCACATGCTACCTTTTAGGCGACCTGCGTAGCACACATTCTCCTTCAAAGTACCGACATGCTACCCATACTCATATAAATATATATATATGTGCTATGTATCTACTGTATCTACTTCCTATTTACTACCTGTGTACTCTGACAGCACTACCTGTGTTTAACATATACCGTCCCTACCATACATGTCAATGATGCCATGCATACCATACCTATCATATCCATCATACATACCATACATACCATACATTTGAAATGTAATTACCACACCTACCATACATACAATAGCAAGCATACATGCCATACATACCATACCTACCCTACACAGGAAATATTCCATACCCATCATAGCAACCATACATACCATACAGACCATACATACTGTCATATCAAACATACCATACCCAACAGACTTACATACCATACCTACCATCCATACAATACCCACCACTCATGCCATGCATACCATACCTACCATACATACCAAACATACCATACTTTCCAAACATGCCATACCAGACCGACCATACACACCATACATACCCAACATACCATACCACACCCCCACCACACCACAGCGGGGGGAGGGACAGTACCACACCCCCACCACGCCACAGGGGGGGAGGGGGACAGTGCTGGGTCCCCAGGTAGCACCCCCCTTCCCTTCTATTTGCAAACTATTGGCAACATTTCTGAGATCCAGCTTCGTATTTGCTAGGTCTTTGCAGCATTTCTGACTACCAGCCTCGCATTTACTAGGCACATGCTACCTTTTAGGCGACCTACGTAGCACACATTCTCCTTCAAAGTACCGACATGCTACCCACAGTCATATATACATGTGCTATGTATCTACTGTAGCTACTTCCTATTTACTACGTGTGTACTCTGACAACACTACCTGTGTTTAACATATACCGTACCTACCATACATGTCAATGATGCCATGCATACCATACCTATCATATCTATCATACATACCATACATACCATACATATGAAATGTAATTACCACACCTACCATACATACAATTGCAAACATACATGCCATACATACCGTACCTATCTTACATAGGAAAATATTCCATACCCATCATAGTAATCATACATACCATACAGACCATACATACTGTCATATCAAACATACCATACCCAACAGACTTACATACCATACCTCCCATCCATACAATACCAACCACTCATGCCATACATACCATACCTACCAAACATACCATACTTTCCAAACATGCCATACCAGACCGACCATACACACCATACATACCCAACATACCATACCACACCCCCACCACACCACAGGGGGGGAGGGGGACAGCGCCACACCGCCACCACACCACAGGGGGGGAGGGGGATGGGACCCATCCCATGGGGGGGGTGGCAGGGCCTGGTGCATATATACATACGTATGTTACATGGATCCACCGTTCAATGGCCATGGTCCAACTTTGCGAACCTCATGATGACGTATCCAAGCCGAACATTCCAAGTGTCTTAAGGCCATGCTCGAAATGTGCTGCTGCTTCCATCAGCCGGGCACCACACGGTTTTCGCCTAGTGCAGAGAGGGTCTCAGGTCTCAATCGAATGACTTGTGAAAGTGTGTGAAAGTTATGAGCTTTCTAGTCTGGTTGTCTCACAGATGCATCCACCCGGTTTGGGCCGTTGCTTTGTGGGTTAAATATAGTTAAATGCATTCTACAAGAAGTGTAGGCGAACATGGTCTTGATACAAATTCCGAACTGCAAACTACGATTGATAAAATCCTTGGTCACTCAAACTTTCCATTGGGTTTGTTTTTCCCCCTTGGTTGCAATGGTCCCTTTGGGTAACTAACAGGCACTTTTTCCCCAATCCATGTCTGGAACCTTGAGCATCTCCTCGCATACTCTTCCCAGTTGCTCTCTTCATCGAGCCATGTCCTGACATCCTTGGCGACATGGTTTCAAGACGTCATGTTTCTTTCGGGCAGGACATAGTTCTTGGAGGCAGGATTGCTGCTGAATTATTTGCTGCAACATGATGTAACACTTGCAGCAAGTGAAAAGGTGTGAAAAGTATAAGACATGCCACCCGACACCCGCGCACTCAAATTGGAAACTTCAGAACAGAGGAGCAGGTGCCTGCGGCCGCCATAATTCAGGGTGAGAAGCTACCGCTCTAGGAGTGGAGCCTGGTAGTGGTTCCTTGCGCAGTCGGAAGACTGCATAGTTTCCTCAGATGGAGTTTGAATAGTTGTTGCAGCTCTTATTTTCTCTTTCGTTCTCTTTCTGAATCAGTGTGTCAAGCCATGAAGAACAGATTGTTGCCACACAAGTTGCCATTCATGAAGACAAGCTTGAAAAACCGAGATCGCGCATGGAGCTTCAAGCACCTGACATGGAAAGCACTAGAGATGCCCAGGTGCAAAAACGCATTGAACCCAGAAAGCTCTGTGAGTTGTAAAGCTGTATGATTCTGAATGATGCAACTTCGCAACAGTTCGCAGGCATACTCAAGAACACACCTAACTTAACGTATCCTAATTCCAACTCAACTTAAGGGACAGATACTAAGAATGATCCTGGCTAGTTACAATTTTTTCTTCTTCAAATTTGGCGCTAGCGCCATTTGCTTCATAACTATTCACGTCTCGCAAACCACATCCACAACTCTTGCACGGAGACTTGGAGAAAAGGCACATCAAGTCTTCGGTCTGATGTTTTTTTGCATTGCAGTTCTTTCGCTTGTCATCCAACTTGTAGGGCGTGAAGAAACAGCGCGAATACTCAAAGATCACCAGCTGCGCCTGTCATGGATAGCTATGACACCTATGATACGTATGTCCAGGCCACTCCCACAACCATGAACTATCCCAGGCAAGGAACAAGAGAGGAGAGCAGGGAATCAGAATGCAGGGTTTCAGCGTGACCACACCTTCAATTCCCTCATGGTTCTTGCAAAAGACTCCTCTGAGCCGCAGTTGTACAACTCATAGGCTTTTTGAACTCGTTTCCGCAAGTTCTCCGACTCGAACCTCCACGGATGGGCAAAACCCATTGTGATTGTGGTTTGGCGCCGCGATTGGCGCCCCTCTTGTTTTCACTGACATGTTGCAATGCTATGAGATCTATGAGTTGCCATGATTGCCGAGGGAAGTTTGGAAGTCAAACTTCCGACAATATGGACAGATGAAGCAGCAGGGGTGGGAAGAGGCAGAGAAGAGAAAAAATCACAAGAGAAAGAGTCAGCAGAAAGAAGATCAAGCGCGCAAAAAGGTAAAAAAGTCGCGAAACACTATTTTTCCCAATGTTTCATGGCTCCGAAGGGTCAAAAAGTAGGCTCGCTACAGCTGCGTCTGCGGAGCCACCTGGTGGGAGGAGAGATCAAAAATTGCACGCCGTTGTGGCGCGAAGACGATTTGGAGGTCGGGTCAAAATGCTAAAAACACCTCATTCTCATGCTCACACTTTCCGAAGTTGATATGTCCAAAAAGTGCGCGCCGCTGTGGCGCAAAGCACATTCACAAGTCAAAAAGCGTCAAAAGCGTCAAAAGCTGACGGTCTCGGACAACTTTTGGACGTTGAGATGTCGAAAAGTAAGCACTGTTGTGGTGCGAAGCACATTTTGAAGTGAAAAGTGTTAAGCACTAACGGTCTCGGAACACTTTTGGAAGTTGAGATGTCGAAAAAGTGCGGGCCGCTGAACCGCAAAGCACATTCACAAATCAACAAAGTCAAAAACTGACGGTCCCGGACCACTTTTGGACGTTGAGATGCCGAAAAAGTAGACGCCGTTGTGGTGCAAAGCACATTTCGAAGTGAAAGGTGTCAAGAACTAACGGTCTTGGGACACTTTTGGGAGTTGAGATGTCGAAAAAGTGCGGCCGCTGTGGCGCGAAGCACATTCGCAAGTCAAAAGTGTCAAAAACTGACGGTTTCGGACCACTTTTGGAAGTTGAGATGTTGCACACAACTACAACTACAACTACAACCACAACAAAACTGCAACTGCAACTGCAACTCGGGCTAATTACAACTACAACTACCACTACACTACACTAGAGGTAGATGGACAGATAGGTAGAGAAATAGACAGACAGACAGACAGACAGACAAACAGACAGACAGCCAGCCAGCCAGCCAGACAGACAGACAGATAGACAACGGGAGAGATAGAGAGACACAGAGAGAAGGTGACAGAGAGAGAGAGAGAGAGTCAGAGTCAGAGCCTCAACAGCTACAACTACTGCACTACACCACGCTATATCCAGGAATTGTGGGTGAGGTGACCACTGCAACCATCGCAACCACTCCAAAAAGCACAGCTCTAACCACCTTGCGGTCCATCAGTGGGTTCGCTCTGCCATCCATGCGTCACAACAACTCACCTCTCCTATGGGTTTCCTATCTTTGAAACTTCCGCCACCACCGTGTGCTTTACTACTGGTATATTATTGGCCCATGGCCTACCAGTATCTACAGTACCCATCAAAGCCATTCAAAGCCCGCAGTTTGTAGAATCGAACAGGTTTTCCAGGTACCAAAACCAGCTGATGGCACAAAATGGCGCAACACGATACAACAGCCTTTTGAAGAAAAAAAAGACTCTTGCTGAATGCGTCAACAGACTGCGGGTGGATGATCATCGGAACATCCGTGAAGGCTCTCATGCTTCCCGCCAGGTTCATTGACGCCAGCACAGGACTGCTGCGCAGGTCTTCATTGTTGAACCAATCGTACAGGTCCGCAAGATCTCCGTCGTTTGAAATCTTGTCTGCCGTATGTTGGCAAATACCTTCCTGGTCATTGAGACACGGGAACAGGTGGATCATCCAGAGAACATGGCCAGAAAAGCCCAGCAATAGAACAGCCAGCAAGACTGCTGGAAATCTGCTTCTCCAGGACGGTGCGAAGAGCTTCGTAGAGCTTCGTACCCCACAGCGCAGCAGCCAGAACCATCATGGGTGGGCCAGATGCGACACGCAAGCGGTTCACTAGACATCCAAGGATAAGAAAGAGCAGGGATTGCATTACAAAGAACAGCAAAGCCGCATCCTCCCCTTCTTGTGAGTACAACTTCACGTCCTCCACGATTTCTCTCTCTTGCAAGGTCTGCTCCGATGTCTCTTCAGGCCGCCGATGTCGAAGTCCCCCTTGGCCGGGGGCTGTTCCCTTGGACGACGGTGCTGGTGCTCCATTCGGTTGCACGGACTTTTTGGGCCGACGACTCTCCAAACAGTTGAAGAAACAACGAATGAAAACTAAGATGCAGGTCAGGGCTGCAGCAGGAGCAGCAGTGGACTCCAGATATACTTTCGCAGATGACCACTCCAAAAGCTTGAAAACACCCATGATCAAATAGAGATTGGCATTAAAACTTGGCTCTGCACAGGATGGCAGCCTACTTGCAGGAAGGTGCCAACTAGTAGGTAGCACATCATTGATGGCAGCAACTTTAGTGCACAAAATCTCATAGACGTGAGTGTCCGCCGTGGCAAATGGTGCCAACACCTTCCGCACCAACAAAAATACGACTACAGCCACCAGTCCTTCCATGACATGTGCAGCTCGTCTGCAAATCCAGGAGCTCCAGGTGTAGGACCTTCCATGGCACCCAAACATGGATGTGGCAGTCTTCAAAGCGACCAGTTGAAAGAAAAACGGCGAGGTCAAAAGGTAGGGACTTCCAAAGTGAACCGCCACTGCCAAGCCCATTGCTAGAATATAGGCATTTAAAATGTCCACAAAAACTGGCCGGATACAGTCGAAACCCAGCACGATGTTGACAAAGTACAGAGCTGTGGCTTGCAGAAGGAGCAAGAAGGGACTGAATTGCCAGGACACAATGAAAGCAAACGTGACTAGCACTAAATTGAGCAAGAGCCAGCGTCTGGTCCCCTGCGCCAGCAGCAAGCGCCAAATCAGGTACGTCTGTATCCATAGCAAAGGGATGCCCCACAATTCTCGGAGATCGGAGCTCGTGTAATTTCCCAATCTGCTGGTCTGAAATCGGTTCCTCGATTCTTGGGCTGTGGGTTGGATGATCCAGGGCATGGTACATCTACCAAATCCTAAATAACAAACCAAAATTAAGCCCCACAAAACAATGCATAGCTTTGATGAGCCACCCAATCATTCATAGTTGTGGACTGTATCCACAAAACATAGTTGTTCATGTTTTCTGGCACATCATGTTCTCATGCACATGTGTGCATACATACAAACATAGATACCTACAGCTATATATATATATTACACACACATACATACATACATACATCCATACATACAATACAATACAATACAATACAATGCAATACAATACAATACCATACCATACCATACAATACAATACAATACATTACATTACATACATACATACATTACATACATTACATACATCCATACGTCCATACATCCTTACATCCATACAGTACATACATACATACCTTACATACATTTTACATACATTACATACAAAACACACATAACATACACAACATAACATGCAAAATATACAAAACATACACAACATACATAACATACAAAACATGCATATCATACAAAACATACATAACATACATAACATACATAACATACATAACATACATAACATACAACGCATACAAAACATACATAACATACAAATCATACTTAACATACATTACATACAAAACATACATTGCATACAAAACATACATAACATACATAACATACAAAACGTACAACACATACAAAACATACATACATACATAACTAACATACATACATATCTAACATACATACAAAACTAACATACACACAAGACTAACATCCATAACTAACATACATAACTAACATGCATAACTAACATACATAACTAACATACATACATAACTAACATACATAACTAATAAACATAACTAACATACTTCACTAACATACATAACTAACATACACGACTAACATACATAACTAACATACACAACTAACATACATAACTAACATGCATAACTAGCATACATACATACATACATACATGCATGCATGCATGCATGCATCCATACATCCATACATCCATACATCCATACATCCATACATCCATACAGTACATTACATTACATTACATAACATTACATTACATTACGTAACATTGCATATCATTACATAATATTACATTACATTACATAACATTACATAAAATTACGTTACATTACATGCCATTACATAACATTACATTACATTACATAACATTACATTACATTACGTTACATACATACATGCATGCATACATCATACATACACACATACGTACGTATACATACATACATACATACATGCATGCATGCATGCATGCATACATACCTTACCTTACCTTTCCTTACCTCACCTCACCTCACCTTACCTTACCTGACATTACATTACATTACATACACAAATACATACATATACATGTGTGTGTGTGCACATATACTCTGATAAGTATATTGAAGAATGCGCACAAAAAACTACAATGAATTATATTTTGCATGTAGGTACACCAAAAAATGCATGTCATAGCAAATATGCATATATATATATATTTAAATGCATATTATATATATATACTCAGAACTGTGTGCGTTTGTGTATGTGCGCAAATGACATCAAATGACATTTGCAAATAAATATCCTCACTGAAATGCACTTAGACATGGTCCTTCGACCACTTGCCACGCACCGAATCCAAGAGCCAACCCACCCCACTATATAAGGGTGTAGAATAGTTTTTGGATTTTTTTTGCCTCAGGTTTTGGATTTTTTTTTGGCTTTCTTTCCCGGTACCATTTGCCTTGTATTTGCAACAGTTTGGAACTAGAACCTGTCGAGTCATTTTGCATGGTATTTGCTACATTTTGGCATGGTCACTCTGCATTTTGCATGGTATTTGCTACATCTGGCCACGTTTGCCTTCCATTTTGCATGGTATTTGTCATATTTTGGCATTTCAACCTCTCATTTGCATGGTATTTGCTACATTTTGGTGCTTCAAACGTTCATGTGGGTCTCTTGAGGGTTCTTTAGGCTTTCATTTAGGGTTTCATTTAAGGTTTCATTAACGGTTTCATATAAAGTTTTATTTAAGGCTTCATTTGGGGTTTCATTTAGGATTTCATTTCGGGTTTCTTTAGGGTTTCATTTGGGGTTTCATTTAGGGTTTCTTTACGCTTTCATTTTAGGGTTTCTTTAGGGTTCCATTTAGGGTTTTTTCCCGGTTTCATGTAGGGTCTCTTATCAGAGTTTCTTATCAGGAGTTCTAAACGTTCAAATGGGTTTCTTTAGGGCTTCTTTAGGGTTTCATTTAGGGTTTCTTTAGGGTTTCGTTTAGGGTTTCATTTAGGCTTTCATTTAGGGTTTCAGTTTGGGCTTCATTTGGAGTCTCATTTAAGGTTTCTTTGGGGTTTCAATTTAGGGCCTCAATTTAGGGTTTCAATTTAGGGTTTCATTCAGGAGTTCATTGAAGCTTTCTTTAGGGCTTCATTCCAGGGTTTCTTATCAGGATTTCTTTTCACGATTTCTAAACGTTCAAGTGGTTTCCTTTAGGGTTCCTTTAGGGTTTCATTTAGGGTGTCATTTAGGGTTTCTTTAGGGTTTCTTCAGGGTTTCATTTAGGATTTCTTTAGGGTTTCATTTAGGGTTTGAATTTAGGGTTTCATCTAGGATTTTTTTAGGGTGTCAATTTAGGGTTTCAGCTAAGGTGTCAGTTAAGGTTTCATTTAGTTTTTTTCAGGGTGTTGTTTAAGGTTTCTTTGGGGTGCCATAAAGTTTCTTTAGGGTTTCATTCATGGTTTCTTTAGGATTAATTTATGGTTTCTTTAGGGTTCATTTATGGTTTCTTTAGGGTTCATTTAGGGCTTCATGTAGGGTTTCTTATCAGGATTTCTTTGGGGTTTCTTTGGGTTTCACCTAGGGTCTCTCTAGGGTTTCATGTCGGATACAAACAGAACAGAATAAAGCAAAAGAAAATGAAAACAAAGATACAGTAAAGACAGGAAGCAAAGAAGCAAAGGAGCAGGAAGTGGAGCAGCAAAAACACATGACTGAAGAAAAGAAACAGTAAAATAGTAGAAGTAGAAAGGCACAGAAGTACAAAAGCAAAGAAGCAGGGAAAACAGAGAAGCAGAAAGGCAAAGAAGCAGGAAAAGCAAAAAGCAGAAAAGCAGGGAAAGCAAAAAGCAGAGAAGCAGAAAAGCAGAGAAGCAGGAAAAGCAGAGAAGCAGGAAAAGCAGAGAAGCAGAAGCAGAAAAGCAGAAAATCAGAGAAACAGGAAAGCATAGAACCAGGAACCCAAAAAAAAATCCAAAACCTGCCGCGAAAAAAAAATAAATAGCCCTCCACTATATAATACTAAATACCCCCTGCACGGAGGTACCCGCATCACTTAGGGCAACGCCAAACGCATCACTTCAGGCAACATCCAGAAATCACACACTCCTCACACTTTGGACGCTCACTTTGGGCAACACGGATTTCATCACTTTGGGCAACACGGAAAACATCGTTCTTATCATCTAATTACTAGACTGACCCATTTAGGGTTTGGTTGGGGGGTGGGGAGGGATCATTCTACTTACTTCATTACTTGACTCAGCCATTTAAGGTTTGGTTGGGGGGTGGGGAGGGATCATTCTACTTACATCATTACTTGACTCAGCCATTTCGGGTTTGGTTGGATGGGGTGGGGGGGGATCATTCTACTTACATCATTACTTGACTCAGCCATTTAGGGTTTGGTTGGGGGGTAGGGATCATTCTACTTACATCATTGCTTGACTCAGATATTTAGGGTTTGGTCGGGGGGTTGGGGAGGGATCATTCTACTTACATCATTTCTTGACTCAGCCATTTAGGGTTTGGTTGGGGGGGAGGGATCATTCTACTTGCTTCATTACTTGACTCGGCCATTTAGGGTTTGGTTGGGGGGGTTGGGGAGGGATCATTCTACTTACATCGTTACTTGACTCAGCCATTTAGGGTCTGGTTGGAGGGGTGGGGAGGGATCCCTCTACTTACATCATTACTTGACTCAGCCATTTAGGGTTTGGTTGGGGGGTGGGGGGTGGTCATTCTATTTACATCATTGCTTGACTCCGCTATTTAGGGCTTGGTTGGGGGGTGGGGAGGGGTCATTCTACTTACATCATTACTTGACTCAGCCATTTAAGGTTTGGTTGGAGGGGTGGGGAGGGATCATTCTACTTACTTCATTGCTTGACTCCGCTATTTAGGGTTTGGTTGGGGGGTGGGGAGGGATCATTCTACTTACATCATTACTTGACTCAGCCATTTAAGGTTTGGTTGGAGGGGTGGGGAGGGATCATTCTACTTACATCATTACTTGACTCAGCCATTTAGGGTTTGGTTGGGGGGGTGTGGAGGGATCATTCTACTTACATCATTACTTGACTCAGCCATTTAAGGATTGGTTGGGTGGGGTGTGGGGGGGTGTGAAAATGTCCTTTTGCTCTTGGCACAAAGACATATATGCTACACTGGGAGCCGATCTTCCCTTGCACCTGCACACCAACATCATCTCACGCTATCACATCTTCTCCTGACGCTATCATCATCATGATAATGGTGAAGATGAAGATGAATAATACTCGGAAGGAGAAAATGCTTATAACAAGGATGAAGATGAAGATGAAGATGATGATGATGATGATGGTGATGCTGATTATGATGATGATGATGATGATGCTCACTTGATGGTCAACATGATGGCCAACCCTTAGTGGACAACATGATGATGGGGTACCCGCCCTCCGACCCCTCACGATGGTCAACATGATGATGAAAATGATGATGATGGAATATGTCTACTGTTGACGACGACGACGACCACGACGATGACGACGACGACGACGACGATGATGATGATTATGATGATGATGATGGTGATGATGATGATGATGATGGAATCTGTCTACTGTTGACGAAGACGACGATGATGATGATGATGATGGTGATGATGATGGCGATGATGATGATGATGATGATGATGGTGGCGGTGATGGTGATGGTGATGATGATGATGATGGTGATGATGATGGTGATGATGATGGTGATGATGGTGATGATGATGATGATGGTGGTGGTCATGATGATGATGATGATGATGATGATGGTGATGGTGATGATGATGATGGTGATGGTGATGGTGATGGTGATGGTGATGGTGATGATGATGATGATGATGATGATGATGATGATGATGATGATGATGATGGCCATGATGATGATGATGATGATGATGATGGTGATGATGATGATGATGATGATGATGATGGTGATGGTGATGGTGATGGTGATGGTGATGGTGATGGTGATGGTGATGGTGATGGTGATGGTGATGATGATGATGATGATGATGATGATGATGATGATGATGATGATGATGAGGTATCCCGAAGCGATGCATGAGGCATAGCCCGAAGCGATGCACTCAACGTATCCCGAAGCGATGCCCCTTTCCCTGTACGGACCGCCACATGAATAGATCCAAAGCGAAATCACGGGGTTCTTGGGTGGCACAGTATTCAATTTTCGGGGGATGGGATTATATCCAAGCCACACATAATTGTGCTCAGCTTGAAGTTGAATCTTTACGATTCCGTAATTCACGATGTCATCTTTTGTGACAACGGGCTTTTTAAGATGCTGAGAATTAACATTCTAGTTACAGTAAGTAAATTCTTGCACGTCTAAACCAAAGTCGAACAAAAATGAACAAAATGCTTCAAAAAGATGAGTATGTTCAATCACTAGTTCCTCGCTACCCTGAAGACTCGTCTCCTGTGACCGAGCTGCAAGAAAGATATCAGAAAGCAAGGTAGGCTTGCCAAGGGATTTCCCGAGATTTGCGTCGCCATAAAGCACAGAAATGCCTGGCACGAGTCGGCGGCACGAGTGGGGTCTTCAAAATTACCCTCTGGTAATTTAACATAGCTATTGAAAATGGCCATTTATAGTGGATTTTCCCATTGAAAATGGTGATTTTCCATAGCTATGTTAAATTACCAGAGGGTATCACCTACGACTGCCTACGACCTATCCTTTGGCACGTCTGCCCTTCCCAGCTGCAACCAGTGCCTGACCCAGGCCATTGACCAAAATGACATGAAATCTGAAGAAATGGAAAGGGTGAGGCAATGCGAGGCCAAAGCCCCTTAGGATGCGATACTCGAAGGCCAACAAGATCTCCTTGCAAAGCATCTGCAACAATGTGTCAACCCTTCAAACAACAGGACAATAATCGGACAATACATACAGTGTGCCAAGAGCTGTGTCCTGGTAGATGTTGAACCTACGGATAGCATTCAAGACATCTGGGTACTCCGTTCGGTGGTCCCAAATGATGCGGTAGAGGCCAACACCAATGTGCTCCACGTCAACCAACTCCTGGAAATAAGAGTAGTAAAAGGCATTCCTCAGTGCGTGCTGGGCACACCACTTCACAAATCCGAACAGGAATGAAAACATCAATAAACATCATCAAATTTGACCCTGCAAGAAGCATCTGCAAAAAATATCAACAAACCCTTCCAAGGAGTTAGGCTTGCTTGCTGCTATGGTTTGGCAAAAGTTTTGGCAGCATCTGGACAACATAATATGTTATTGCGGTGGAGGTGCTCCGTCTGTAAAGCACTGACAGCCGCTAAGCCAGTGGGAAGGCTGTGGAGAACTCTCAGATATACCAGGTTCTCATAGACATGCAGCACGCCAGCGAGCGCTGCAGTTGCTATTGAGACAGCTTTGGCCACGCCCTTCATATCGAATAACAGCGGCTCTGGCACATTGCACCTACGAATCCTGCACACTATCCCTCTGTGTCATTTTTAGTTTCAACCTTTATCAAAGTTCTGAATCTTACAAGTAGCAGAGATTTCTTTACCATGTCAAGGACGCAATGCTTGCGAATTCAAGATTTCTTGACCAGGAATCATCAAATAAGCCAGCAACCAAGAGTTGAAGCATGCGTGAGATTCGATTTAGACGAACCCATAATCGGGAATCATCTGTCTGGCAGATGCTTCCATGAGCAAAAACCGTGTTGTTAAGGACCTTTGGACTGTTCTGAGCTCCATCGAAACCCCATGCCATCCTTCTATCAGCCGTAAAGCTAACGGAAATCAGACATCTCTCCTTTCAAGTTTGCACAGCTAGCAGAGGCTTTCGGGAATGACGAACTTTGCAGGGCAGGTCCATCGGTACTTGCACCCAGCCCATAGAGCAAACAAATAGCTGTTCACTCCCACACCCATCTACAACTCTCCTTTTGCACTCTGCAGGTTGGGCCGAAGGTCTTTTGCCTACGTCTCTGGCGACTGCTCCGTGCGGAACACCCGGGCAAAGCAGTCCTACCTTAGAAAAATCTTCAGCACCACACATTTCGTTCAGAGCCAGTGGCCTGTCCGAAGCTTTCTGTCCTGACTACCTCTATTGAAATCACTGTACATTCGTGGGCATCCTTGGTACGGCAAATGTAGTGATGCGCCCGTTTTCGTCGGTGAGCATCAGAGGACCATGCCCAATTGCAACCAAACAGCAGCTGTCCCCAATTTGCACTTGGAGATTGTTTACCACAGATCCGAGGTCCAAATCTTCACCGAAGCTACGAAAGTCCGTTGCTAAAGCTTGCCTTGCACCCATTCGTTGCAGCTGCTCTCTCTCTCTCTCTCTCTTTCTCTAGCAAGCCAAGGCAACAGATCGGTAGCAGCCGACTGCGCATCCATGTCCCCGTCTAAAAACCGCGTCCGGAGCGGCTCATGCGCGGACTGCTTCCCGTTCTCGCCTGACCTTCATGGCACGCCAAGCGGCAAAATCCTCGGACAGTTCCTCGGCATCTAGAGATGGAGGCCAAAGGTATGGCCCAAGGCGCATGTTTTAATCATTTTGAAGGAAGTTGCAGGTTGCACAACCGTTGCACACTATAATTTCTGCCCCACCTTAAGCCTTTCCAGGAGGAATTCAATTCGAATCTTGTGCTGTCGACCTCAGGCTCTGACCACTTCTAGTTTTCTGGATGCATAAGCACAGGTCTGTCGACAGGCTTCTCTTGCCGCTGCTCGCAACACCTCGTGCACAGAAATAGACAACTGAGAGGTGTATATGCATATACATGTGTATAGGCATACATCTACACATAATGCCTAGGTATGCACATGATCTGATCAACAACGATAAAGCACTAATTAAACCAAGACCTGTGCAAAGCTTCCAAGAACGTGATCAATCATTATCATATAAATATAATTTATAAGGTATACATATATAAATATGTATACTATGGTCGTGTGTATATGTATACCTGGAGATGACCCTAAGCATATAGGCGATAGCATCTGCCCTCACATCATCCGTATGCTGCACCGTTGCGACGTTGCGAACCTCTTCTGGTAACGTGATGCCAGCGATGTTGGGCACCTCACCCTGTACCTGAATGGAGACCCAGCCCGTCGCAGAAGACCTCAAGGCCGCCATAAGGCCGCCAAACAAGGTGCAGCATATACATACGTAACAGAACATAAAGAGCATAGCAATACCATGGCATTCCATGAAAGGAAACATCAGAGAACATTATGATATTGCATTACATTATATTATGATGACATTACAGTACATGATAATACAGGAGAGTACAGCACACTACATGGGAACGGCGCTGAGAGGCGCCTGGTGGTTTTAAGGGTCTCTGCGCGCACTTCCCCCTGTAACTGCGCATCAAGCTCTGCAGGCCCTTTTTTTCACTTTCCAAAAACTACTACTAATTCAACCATGAAACAATTTGCTCATGGCAGCCAATTTCTCTGAATTGTTGCCGCGCATGTTTGTTCTGCGCCACATCCATTGCCGTACCCTTTGCATGTACATGCACATGAACATGAACATTTACATCCCACCCCACCCCACCCCATCATCAACGTAACATCATCAACGTGACATGTACATGAACGCAAAAAAAAAAGCAACAAAACACCCAGGCGCCTTGTAGTGCCGTTGGCCACTACATTACATTGCATTACATTACATTACATTACATTGCATTGCATTACATTACATTGCATTGCATTGCATTGCATTACATTACGTTACATTACATTACATTACATTGCATTGCATTACATTACATTACATTGCATTGCATTACATTACATTACATTGCATTGCATTGCATTGCATTACATTACATTACATACATGCATGCATACATATACTTATGAGTATGTGTATACATGTATAGTGTATATGTATATTGTACTATATACATGTAAATGTTATATACTGTATATGTATATATAAGGTCTACTTGGTCTCCTTCATCTTAAATGGCGTGCTTTTCGCTTCAAACTGGAACAGCCAATTTGACTGGCGCAGGGTCAACGACAAGAAGAAGATGCTTGCCATATCGCAAGGGCCGTCCGAGGTACCGTTTTTGTGAGATCTCATCATTGACTATCCTCAACTCACCGGTGACATTCAACGAGAAGACCGGGAGATCAATATCCTCAGGACCAGCTCCCACCAAGGCAAGTCAGCGAGTCATTCTACTTTGATGTTTCGGATTTTATCTTTTCTACATCTCTGCTTTGGGGAAAATTCCTTTGCTAAAAGCTGGATTCTCAGGATTTATTCTGAAACCCCCAGAAGTTTCCTAGTTTGTGTGACCCGCCACACTATGCACAATCCATGCCAGTTTCGTCTAAATATCGGCGCTCTAAGCATCAGACCATACCGGTGGCAAATCGGATGTTGGCCCTTGGATCTCCAAAGGTTCCAATCTCCAGAAGCCTCAGGCTAAACGATCAGTTCGTCTCTGTTCAATCTACACACTGTTCATTGGCATCGCTGCCTTGCATTTGGCAAAGTGCTTGCGCGTTTTTCTTTACAAAATATGATTCCTACTTTGTTTACAAAGCAAATCATCATCTTTCAACACAATTCTTGTCACGCAGCTTTCAAATGTGTGCCCCATAATTGAACTGGTTGAACCCAGCAACTTTTCGGATCCTGCGTCTCGAATGGCCCCGAACAAATTGATTGATGACGTTGCTCTTCCAAGCCTCAGGGTCAAGGCAGCTGCCAAAGATGTGTGATTTTTTGGTCTGAAAATGGGGCATGGATGGGAAAATGATAATTCACCAGTGGATTTCAAGGGAAAACTATGGAAAATGTCCCCAACCAATTTCAGACCAAGTCATTGACGTCTGCCCGAGGAGCCCCATCAGATCCAGCGCGGGCAAGGAGAATTTGTAGACTTGTTTGGCCGAGTTTGGTTGTTCCAACTCCTACCGCGGCGTGATCTTGTGGAATCTAACTGACCCAATCTCATATCATATATATAATCTAATCTGATTGAATGATACATTCATTTGTAGGTTTTATATACGAGTATCTTGCCCAGTCTCCTCTGGTCTCATCTCTTCCATGTTCTAAATGTTATCACATTTTACGATGCCTATCGGTGCATCTCGATGCCTATGGTTGCCCATCGATGCCTATCCATCCCTCGATCCCTCTATCCATCCATCCACCCATCTGCGTGCAGGCTTGCATACAAACCACACAGTTTTTCACAATCCATTGCCTTCCCTTTTTTCCCAATGATTTATGTAGCCAATGGCAAACAGAACTTGGGAAAATCTCCTTGGCCCGCTCGATCTTGGAAAAGGCCGGTTTCCCCGCTTTCACCAGGCGATCCACGCTGTTGTCCTAAGGGAGGATGGGCAAGATGCCAATACCCGAAAGGCATTTTCACAACGCTCCCAGGGAGTCAACTTGAAAGTGGCCACCCCAAAATGATTTGCGGCTAATACACCAAAACGAATGCTACTGTGGTTGGTGGTTTTACCATGTTTCAACTCATCCCAAAAATAATTTTTGCCCTCTCAACGAAGCATCCCCGGTTGTAGTGGAAAAACAGTATATATATATATATTATATTACTAAAAATTAAATATGGGAAAGCCCCACCCGGTTCTATCCCCAAAATCCATCAAAATCTGCGGTAGTCCACCCAAGCGGCTGTGGCATCGTCACCATACAACCAGGACCTGGCCAGATCAGGAGCTCCTGCCAGCGACACCTGAAAAGGTGTCCTGGCACCAAATTTGGCCTTGGTGCCTCAGTAGGACATGCCAAAATGGCACCTGAATATTTGGGTATGTCTGAAAATGGGGTATACCCCCAATTATAGCCATTTAGTAGGGATAATTTATCATTAACCATTGGGTGTAGGGGTACACTATTTTCAGACAAACCCATTTAAAGAAAAACAATTGAAACCTCCAGGGTTCACTATCATATTTCTATGAAAACCAAAAAAAAAAGTGTTTCTCTGAAAATTGGGTACCCCACCCTATCGTTAATCATCATGTTCCTACAAGTCATGCCATAACTGGAGGTTTATACCATGATGCTGATGATTTTGCACATGCTGGTTTTTTGGTATATGGCTAAAGTATCCAGGAATAGCCTGACCAAACAGGCCATACAGATCCCCTTGTCAATCAAAATCGAATATTTTGAAGCGTAGCAACATGTAGCAACACATATTTTGCGATATGACGGAGAAATTAAAGACATTCACCGCAGCAAACTGGTTTTCAACCCAAGTGTCCTTGAATATCTATCCACTCGTCGCTTAGGCCAAAGGCATCTTGGCGCGCTTGCATAGCAACTGCTGCATGTCCTGGAGTGTTTTGGATCGAAATTGTGTTTTCAACCAGAAAACATTGTTAAAACACGTTAAAACATGTTAAGTTATGTAACTATGCCTCGTTTTTTGCGCTAAACTAAACCATCCATAGGGGGACACCCTTTCAGATGTGGCCGAGCATCTCTGTCGGCTTTGATCGCTCGCAGGGCCATCCGGGCCATAGGACAGTTGAGGCGACCTCAAAACTGAGAAAATTAGGACCTGGATAGACTTCCATGTCATAAAACATCATAAAACGCTAGAAATTCTGTGATTGCATCGTTTCACCATTGTTTCATCATTGGGACCTGAGTTTGTTCTCTGATCAACAACCCTGGCATGACGTATTTCTGATGGATCGTCCGAGGTGCCAAGCCGTCACAAACACCCGCGACAGCTGCAGAAAACTACAGACCACGGCGGCCAAAAAAAAAATCGCACGAGTCCGGACAGCCCGCGCCATGGCGAAGAGACAAAATTTCTGGTGTTTTTTGGCGATTACCTATACCATTGTATTGCAATATGTTTAACAGAAACAGTGCTGAAAATGAGAAAAACGATAATAGTGATGGCATGTGATGGCAATAATAGTTTACAAAAAAAATGGTGCGACATGCATTCGAGTCTCAACATGTCACGGCCGCATCTGAGCATGCTTGGTTTCACAACCGCAAAATCGTCACATTCGATTCTAGTTTGGGTCAAAATAGGCCCGGCATGTTGTGGGCAATAACTTGTTTGTCATTCTTAAAATTGTTACAATCCGGCGTCAACAAAAATAATCAGAAGTGGGATATGGTGCCTATATATTCAAACAGATCCACTGATAACGGCATATAACATTGAAATCAAAACAACAAGAACGTAACACCAACTAAAAATGTGAATGTTGTTGTTGTTGTCAAATAGTTGTGCATAAAAATTGCATAAAGCCGTTTCTCCTGGAAGGACGCGAATCAATTTCAAGCAACAAATGCCCAACATAAAATCATGTATTGTTTGGTGAAAATATCTAAAAAAAAATGTGTTATGGTTTCAGATTTCAGATTTCAATATGTTTGAACGCTATTTTGGGACAACCACGAAGCTGCATGTCTTACCCCAAGGACGGTCCAAAACAAAAACTCCTTTCCACCAAAATTCTCTAACGTTCTTCCAAACAACTTTCAGCAAGAACACTTTGCACCACTTTTCTTGTACACCGCAGGCACAATCAAAAAAACACCACAACTGTTGCGCCTGGATAATTCAGGATATTTCTTGAAGCCACCCCACCTTCCACACACAAGCTGCATCTCACATCATGTCATCAAGTGAAATCCTACACTGTCGGGAGTCCTGGTCTGGTCGTGCCGGCTTGCTGGAAACTACTTCCCAAATTGTTGCGGTTGCCGCACTGCTGCTCAACGTAAATTGTACAAACATGATTTACGTTACATTGATGCGATTTGCCGGAACCTGCTTCGCTCGCTTGTGGGGGCGCCTGCTGGTCTTGATTGGTTGTCACCGTGGCATGACATGCATGGAATGAGCGCTTGCGAAATCAGGTGGCGCTTTATGGTTTGAAATTTCGGTCGGAAACATGTTGTTTGCAACATTGGAAATTCGGAAACAAGGAAGATTTTTGATACGTGGGTCAGAAATTATGTTTTTTTGCCGATTCAAAGGGTTTGGTACTTGGAAGATTTTGCTGCGACAACAGACATTTGGATGCAATGCGCCTCGAAGTTTGTAGTTTTGGCAAATTGTTGACCTAGAATCTTGGTTGCCAGTGTTTTGCCTCACCCCCCCCAAAAAAAGCAAAAAAAAAATGCGCCTTAAATGGGCAACCTCAGGGCACACTAACGGAAACTGAAAGTGAAAGTTTCCTCGCTGGCGAAAACAAATGAAACTCCACATACCAGGCGCATCAACCCACGCTGATTTTCACGTTTTTAATCTAGGTTTCAAAATTTAGAGTTGGCTTCGCTGCGGGCCTGGGTTTTCCACATTGAGACCACAGGTTTTCCACAAGCGATCCTTGAGTTGTATTTTGCACTTGCACTGCTTGTACGTTGGGGGTTCTACACGCTATACAAACGACGGTTTTGATTTGCCCACGGCCAGCTTTGATATGAGTTCACTTGAGAAGGGTCTTCAAGATTAAGGGGGCCCTCCAGTGCCGCAAGTGCCACGCCTGCCACACAAAATAGACGTCTATGCCACCAAGCGCCACGCATGCCACAATTGTGCGTGAAAGAGTTGCGTGTGAGAGAGTTGTGTGTGTGAAAGAGTTGTGCGTGTGAAAGAGTTAGAGTGTTGTATGCGAGAGAGTTGTGTGTGTGAAAGAGTTGTGCGTGAGGGAATTGTATGTGAGAGAGTTGTGTGTGAAAGAATTGTGCGTGAGAGACTTGTGCGTGTGTGTGTCACAAGGTTGTGTGTGTGTGTGTGTCACGAAGTTGTGTGTGAGACAAAGTTGTCTGTGAGAATTGTGTCTGAAAGAATTGTGTGTGTGTGTGACAAAGTTGTGTGAGAGAATTGAAAAATTGTGTGAGAAAGAGTTGTGTGTGACGAAGTTGTGTGTGACAAAGTTGTGTGTGAAAGCGTTGTGTGTCAAAGAGCTGTGTGTGTCTGTATGCATGTGTGTGTGTGTAACAAAGTTGTGTGTGAAAAGAGTTGTGTGTGACAGACTTGTGTGTGTGTGTGAGAGAGTTGTGTGTGTAAAGGAGTTGTCTGACGAGAAGGCAGTCGCCGTTTTGTGGCTCCGGCGGGTTGGAAAATACGTTCGCTAAAGCGGCGGGTGCGGAGCCATCTGGTCAGATGAGAGATGGAAAAAGTGGTCGCCGTTGTGTTCGCGAGGCAAATTTTGCGATGAAAATGCGGAAAATTGTTGAAATTTGGGAAAAGTGCGCGCATCTGTGGCGCGAAGCGCGTTTCCAAGTCAAAATGGTTAAAAACAGTACATGTCCGGACAACTGTTGGAAGTTGAGATGTTCAAAAGGTGACGGGCGTTACGGCCCGAAGCACATTTCCAAGTAATTAAAAATGTGCAAAACACCTCAAATCCGGAACGCTTTTGGAAGTTGCAATGTTGGAAAAGTGCATGCCGTTGTGGCGCGAAACATATTTCGACATCAAAATGTAAAAAACGCCTCCGTTTCGGAGCACGGTTGGAAATTGAGATGTTGAAAAAGCGCAGCGTTGTGGCGCGAAGTGCGTTTCCAAGTCAACATGTACAAAACGCCTCAAGTTCGGAGCGCCTTCGAGGATGGCACACATACACTGCCACGCATCCACGTTGGAAAGGCTGGTGGGCCAGGGTGGAATGCCCACGTTCACTGCAAACCTAGGATGGCACACATACAGTGGCACACATACAGTGGCACACATGCACATTGAACAGGGGGTGTGGTGGGGTGGATGTTTACGTTCACTGGCACTTGCAAAACCAAGCATGGCACATATACACGTTGAACAAATACACGTTGAACAGATACACGCTGAACAGAGGGTGGGGTGATGGTGGGGTGTACTTTGGCTCTTCGAAAACTGCAGCCAATCGTTGCAACTTGCTGCGCGTCACAGTGCATGAGCCTCCAATACGAGATCGATGTTGGTTGGCACAAGAACAACAAAAAAACACACCATAGATTAGTCTTCCTGCATCAAGATCCCTATTTGGAGTTGCAAGCGAACCATCGCCCTCCTGTTGTCATTCGGATGGTTGTTCTCGCAGGATTTGATACAGTACGTTTCCCTGCTTTGCTCATCAAGTACCATCCGAGAAAGCGGCGCTTGGAAGAGTTATTCTTGGCATGACTGTTTCGTGCATTGGTGGGGTTGCTACGTGGGGACCATTGGGGATCCGTGTATAGGCCTCCTTGGATACCACATCCAAAATAAAAACGGAAGCTGAGGGAAGCCGCAAACATTTTTTGCAGATGTGATTTTTCGCACGGCGTCAGACTGCAAACCTAGTCGGGCACACTGCGCGTTGGTTTCAAGGCACCCTGCCCATGTTCCTTGCCAAGACATCCGTCCTGCAGCCTTTGCATGTTGCAAGCGAAGCAGATTCGCAGGTGGTTGTGTGACAGTCTGCCTCATGATCCGTGTGGTTTTGGGCTGGTTTGGGCAAGCCTAACGGAAAAGTGCTCTCCCGCGTTGTTCGCATAGTCTGCATGAATATCAACGAAATAGTCCCGACCGGCAACTCACTGTTTTGGGAGTGGAACCGATAAAGACTTGTTTTCTTTGGTGAGGGAGAAGAAGTTCTTTACAAAAATGAACTTAATACAACTTGATGCGTTCAACTTGTTTACACGTAAATCGTACTTTCCTGTAATTTGTCTGCAATATCCCGCTCAAAAGCCTTGGCAACAAAAAAAAATTGTTGTGGAGACCGTAGGTATATCTACTGTAACCTTTGGATGTCCGTCTACTACAGTGAGGCATTGCTAGATTGATGTTTTCTCGTGTAGGTAATTAAATCGTTCAGTTTCTGCAGGTCTGGTTCTCTGAAAGCCTTGTTGTGAAGCCGTCACAATGACTGCGGAGATCTAGTAGAGCACGTGCACAAAAGGGAGAAACAAGACATCGCTGTGGTAAAGTAAATACATTCAACTTTGGCAGTTTTCCAACAATTGCGTCAAGATCAGCGAAGTCAAAGAGCCACCAAAACAAATTAATTCGCAACAACCATTGCTTGAGGCCCGCAAAGTTGTCTGCCGCGTAAAGGATTGGAAGCCGCTGAGTGTGGATTGTGAGTTTGGATCTGTCACTGTCACTGTCGAAAATCGTAACTAACTAAACTAACCATGGGCTTTGGTTTTTCTAACCTGTGTAGGCATGTGTAGGCCATATTTGAGCGGCATCGAAATTCTTATCATCCTGTAGTGCTTTCGCAATTGCTTTCGCACGCAATGACTTCACTTTGGCGGCACCATTTTGTTTATGTTCACTCTCGCGGCGGCTTTTGCCGAACAAAGACGAGGAAACATGAATTACACGCCGATCTGGATTTAGCTTTCGCGTTGGACCCTTTTCTGATGTTGTTTGTTGATACACAACGGACCTACCGGGACAAAAGAAGACAAAATATTGAGCGCTGGGCTGAGACTCTTTCAGCTAGTTAGACTGGGTGAACTTGATCTGCACGATAGATTACTGTTTCATATTGGGCGCACGTTTTGCTGGAAATATTGTACTACCCCTGGTCTTGCTCCCAACGTTTTATTCACTGCTGTCAACCGTCTGCCCGCAGAAAACCAGCAACTCTTATTGCTGTATTGGCACCTGTACATATCCCCAAGTCCTATGCATGACACCAAAGCAAGTTTTGACTGCGCACAGCCTTCTACCCACGCGGATTTCCAACACTTGCACAGTTCATTTATTTCAACCTGTCATCATTTCAGCTGCTTGTTTCGCAAACATCAAACGCTAACGCAACGCATGTGGAATCAATTGCACGGCCCGCTGGCTAATGTCCTGTGATCACCCATGGCATGATATATCAGAAAGGCCTAACACTTTCGGCATGTTTCGACCACTCTGCGGTTGAACGTTTCAGTCAAACCCTAAGGAACCGCGGAACACAGTCCATCACAGGCCATACAGCTTGGCACAGCAAAAAAACGAGGCCAGCCACAAGATCTCACCTGTCAGGGCCTTGAATTTTGCATCATCCTCCCTGAAGTGGTTCACCCCACCATACAAACCAATTTGCTCTCTCTCTCTCTCTCTATCTCCCTCTCTCCCTCTCTCCCTCTCTCCCTCTATCTCTGTCTGTCTGTCTGTCTGTCTATCTATCTATCTATCTATCTATCTATCTCTCTCTCTCTATCTATCTATCTATCTATCTATCTATCTCAATCTATCGTTCTATCTATCTCAATCTATCGTTCTATCTATCTATCTATCTATCTATCTATCTATCCATCCATCTATCTATCTATCTATCTATCTCAATCTATCGTTCTATCTATCTATCTATCTATCTATCTATCTATCTATCTATCTATCTCTATCTCTCTCTCTATCTATCTATCTATCTATCTATCTCTCTATCTATCTATCTATCTATCTATCTATCTCTCTCTCTCTCTCCAAACTTCTTCAAACTGCTTCCCAAAGTGATGGACATCACATCAAGACTTTTTCTGAAGTGAGTGCCTATGATCAATAGTATTGTCCACCTATCGCTAAGCCCAGATAGGCAGGGTGATAGCGCAAGGTTGTTAAGCAATGATCGGCCTCTTCCTTGTAAAGCCTGGGGTAATCTGGAAATCCGAACCAATTCCTAGCTAGGCAAGCCCCGCTAATGGGAAGCAGTCGCAGAGCCGGAAGAGTTTTTGAAGTGCCACATCCTCGATGCTGACACTTTCACAGGGTGCAGTACGGAAAATGTCATGCAGCATGCAGCATACTATTCGATCGCAATCGCAATGTGATTTTGGAGCAATGTCCCGCTTAGTTTCACACGGTTCCAACTACGACTACCGCGGGACGCTTTTGGTTGCTTTATTCACACTCTTCCAACAGCGATTCCCACGTTTCACGTTTTTATGTCACATTGTCTTGCGCCATGTTTACGCCATGTTTACGCCCTGTTTGCCCGCTTTTTGCGCTGAGTTGGCGGATTATGTCTCTTTGGAATACTTACGGTAATCCACCCATGGCAACCGAAATTTGTCATATCAAAATGTTTTGTCTACTCTCAATTACCCGATGGTAGTTGCAAAAATATTGACCAATATTCACCCAAAAAAAACAATCCTGTTCCCCCACCGAAACTGGCAGCGGCAGCATCGCATTTTCCAGCTGTCAAATGCGGTCGCTGTTTGCTCGACCGCGCAAATCATTCCTTGAGGCGCGGTGCGATGGGTTGGCTCCGTTAAAATATGAGGAATTCCACGGGAGTTTCCATCAACAATAGGGATTTACAGAAATGGAGGATTTCATGGAGGATGTAATCGAACTATAGAACCCATATATATATATATATATATGGTGCTTCCATTGGATTTGGGACCAGCACCAAATCACTGACCAAGCAACCAGCTGCAAGCCGTGTCTAAGGGCAAGTTATGTCCTGAGCCGTTCTCAGGTTTCTTGCAATCTACAACTTTGTGGCAAAGTACTGCAGCTTCATCAACTCAACAAATCCATTGATCTGGTCACTGGCCCCCCATTATCAACCTTCTCCAGGATACTGGATACTCCAGCCCTCAAGGGGGGCCTTTGGGCATCACTTTATTTCCACGCCCCTGGGGCTGTGGCTGTTGGCATAGTCCTCCCACATGGACAGCCATCTCCGACAGTCCCAGATGAGCTGAAACTCCGCGTCTTCGGTCTGGGCCTCCTGATGATGCCCCTGGTATCCACTGTCGGCATCTCGGATCTTGGTCCAAAATTCCCAGTCATTGCGCGTGGCTAAAATCATCCGACATGTTTGTATCCATGACTCTTCTGCCTTGAATCATTAAATCTATGTACCCTCCCGTAATCGGCTGGAAAATCCCTTGAAATGGGGGTGTCTATAGGAAGATCAACTATAAATGGAGAAATGTCCATTGCCATGTTCGATTACCGGAGGGGTAAATCACTTAAAACCACAAATCTATAGTTTTCCCCATGTTTATTAACGTTTATGAGTTATTTTCAACCACTTAATGGGATGATCCAATCAACCGCTCCATCCACTGCCTCCATCTCAGCCGAATCGCGCCGCGAGAAGTTTGTCAGCGAGGCCGAAGAGATGGCAGCGTCCTGACCGAGTTGTATCCCCATGTACTTTACATTGCCTGCATAAAATATGTATATAAGTTGTGTGCATGTATACAATTGTATACAATTGTATACAATTGTATACAATTGTATACAATTGTATACAATTGTATACATATACATATATGTCTATGCATATGTAATATATCTCTACGTATATGTATGTCTTTATGTACGTTTGTACGTATGTACGTATGTACGCATGTACGCATGTACTTGCGTATGTTCGTACGTGTGTATGTACGACTTGTGTACTTATGTACGTAGGCACCTTGGCACGTAGGCACGTAGGTCTGTAGCTATGATGTAGATTTGCTGTAGGTATGATGTAGATTTGATGTAGGTATGATGTAGGTATGATGTAGGTATGAAGTAGGTATGACGTAGGTATGACCTAGGTATGACGTAGGAATGACGTAGGTATGACGTAGGTATGATGTAGGTATGATGTAGGTATGATGTAGGTATGATGTAGGTATGATGTAGGTATGATGTAGGTATGACGTAGGTATGACGTAGGTATGACGTAGGTATGACGTAGGTATGACATAGGCATGATGTAGGTATGATGTAGGTATGATGCAGGTATGACGTAGGTATGACGTAGGTATGGCGTAGGTATGGCGTGGGTATGACGTAGGTGTGGTGTAGGTATGATGTAGGTATGATGTAGGTATGATGTGGGAAGGTAGGTAAGCAGGTAGGTAGGTAAGTAGGTAAGTAGGTAGGTAAATAGGTAAATAGGTAGGTAAATAGGTAGGTAAATAGGTAGGTAAATAGGTAGGTAAATAGGTAGGTAAATAGGTAAGTAAATAGGTAGGTGAATAGGTAGGTGAATAGGTAGGTAAATAGGTAGGTAAATAGGCAGGTAAATAGGTAGGTAAATAGGTAGGTAAATAGGTAGGCAGGGTAGGGTAGGTAGGGTAGGGTAGGGCGGGTCGGGTCGGGTAGGGTAGGGTAGGTAGGTAGGTATGGTAGGTATGGTAGGTTTGGTAGGTATGGTAGGTATGGTAGGTATGGTATGGTAGGTATGGTAGGTATGGTATGTATGGTATGTATGGTAGGTATGGTAGGTATGGTAGGTATGGTAGGTATGGTAGGTATGGTAGGTATGGTAGGTATAGTAGGTATGGTAGGTAGGTAGGGTAGGGAGGCTAGGGAGGCTAGGGAGGCTAGGGAGGCTAGGGAGGGTAGGGAGGGTAGGGAGGATAGGGAGGATAGGTATGGTAGGTATGGTAGGTATGGTAGGTATGGTAGGTATGGTAGGTATGGTAGGTATGGTAGGTATGGTAGGTATGGTAGGTATGGTAGGTATGTTAGGTATGGTAGGTATGGTAGGTATGGTAGGTATGGTAGGTATGGTAGGTATAGTAGGTAGGGTAGGTAGGGTAGGTAGGTATGTATGTAGGTAGGGTAGGTATGTAGGTAGGTAGGTAGGTATGTAGGTATGTAGGTATGTAGGCATGTAGGCATGTAGGCATGTAGGCATGTAGGTAGGCAGGTATGCAGGTATGCAGGTATGCAGGTACTCAAATAATTTTCACGCTTGTTTCAAGGCCCTCCATATCCCTTGATCAACCTGCTGCTGGATGAAATTACGGTGTAATTACCTCCATGGGGAACTTCGGAATTGGCAACCAAAATACCCAGCTCCAGTTTGACATGAATCTTTCTCAGTGCCTCCGAGGGGAAGAACTTCGCGTAGTACTGGCGCTTCGGATGTGCAACCTGGGGCTCCGAACCGTGAGTTTTGGAGTTTGGGGTCCGATCGCAATCTTCCTCATACTGGTTGGTAAATGAGTATATATAGTAAATTATGTAAACTCAATAACCCTTAAATACCCTCAACCTGCTTTCGTGTAAGCCGCTCAATTCACCAATCAAAGGAGGTATTTTGCTCACTCATGCCTCACTTGAGTTCGTTGCATCATGAACCTTGCTTCTGACTAGCTCTGAGACGGAAAGCTTCCCTTGGAACCCATGGGGTTTCCCAAAATGGCAGTTCAACAAGGCACGGAGTCGACTGCTTGATGGAGCTTGCCGAAGATGGCATCCAGGCATCTGAGCGACATGGAATGGAAGCGGCATGTACTGCAAATGATGATGGGCCGGTTCCACAGAATGGGCAAGCACTTCACATGCCTTCAACCCGCGGAGCTAAGACATGTATTGAACGAATCATCACAAGAAACCGCAACACTTTGCCAAAAACCAGACCCAGCTGAAAGATGCTCACCCAAGCTTGCACTTGTAAAAAGGATTGCGAGGGGATGAGAGCCTGGCTGCGTCGACATATTGTCTTTTCACTTTCGTTAAAGGAGGAGCTCTTATCATCCCTAAAGATCTGAGTGCCTTCATACGCGGCTTCCTACCAGGCTGCAGCGCCCATACATCGGTAC